TGTCCTCTACATTCAGGAAGAAGTTACATAAGGGCAAGACATGGCTGCAGCTTAGTGCCTCTATGAGTCTTATGACAGATGTACCAGTAAGGTGGACATTCATAGTCTCACACCATGGCCTCCTGAAAATAAAAATCTAACCACCTCCTAAGATCCTATTGCTCTGTTTTTGTCAAATGCTTATTTTTCTTGTAATATTTATTACATGGTAACTTTTGTGAGTAGATAAATATACCTTTGTTTGATGGGCAATAGAAGTTTGTGGTTGAAAAGGTAATTTTATCAGAGAAGATCAGGCAAGATTTGAAGTCTTCCATGTGTAACCTGGGCATGTTTAACAATGAGCATGTTTTCTCATTGAACAAATACCTGTGAAACATCTGCTATTGTTCTAGGTGTTATTGTTCTAGGTGTTAGAATAAAGTAATGAAGAAGACACAAAACAGCCCTGCCATCCCCAATCTATGCTAGTTTGGGAAAACAGGCAATAAACAAGTCAACAACTGAAGAAGTAGGAAGGGAGAGGAATAATAGGAGAAAGAAAGATGGAAAAACCAACCAGAGGAGGTGATAGTTGAGCTGCTAGATGCTGAGAAGGCCCTCACAAGGTCCACATGTTAATGTTGAAATGAGTGTGTCAAACATGAACATGCAGCTAGATATATAAGCCTGGACAGCAAGATTGTAAGGAATCTGGAGTGAAAAATATATTGATGTTTTTAATGTGCTAGAAGTAGCTGAAATCAACCTGGGAGATTGTCTGGCTAGAGAAAAGAGTCCAGGGCCAAGTCCTAGGGTATATGAATAGTTAGACAGAGAATGAGGAGCTAGTTAGGCAGAAGGAGAACCAGGAGACTTTAAAATCAAAATGCTGAGAGAAAAAGTGTTTGTGTTAGGGGAGGGGTGATGCCTAATCCAGCAAAATGTTACTGAGCTCAATTAAAAAGACAGACAAGTGACTCTTTGATTTGGGAACATGGAGATCTTTCATGACTTAGACAAGGGTTCTTTCAGTGGTGTACTGGAAAAGGAGCCACATTCCACTGGGTTGAGAATAGTAAAGAAGGCAGACCATGAGTATACATAGGGGTCACATGGGACTAAAATTGGATTTTTTTGGTTTGTTATTGCTTTTTGGTTTTATTTGCTTTTTTTAAGATGGGAGCTACTGGCACATGTTATTTTGATGGGAATGATCTAGTAGTGAGGGAGAAATTAAGTTTAGAGCAATGTTGATTGCCCTGTACTTTTCTTAAAAGAAAACATTTTATTAGCATAAGTTAGTTGTACAGGGGAGTTTCATTGTGACATTTCCATATGCGTTTACAACGTACCTTGGTTAGATTTGTGTCTCCATCATTCCCCTCATCCTCCCTCCCCCATTTAAAACAATTTCACCTGTTTCATTGTTGTATTTTCATACAAGTATATAAAGTACATTTATCATAGTCACCTTCCTTCACTTTCTCCACTCACCCTACCCCCTTCCAATGGTACTTACCTCTAAATAGGATTTATCTTACCTTCCTGTCCTTCATTTTTAAGTGTATAATAATTATTCAAAGGGGTTTTGTGGTTGTATTTCACATATGCATATATTCTACTTTAATCAAATTAACCATCTCTATTATTTTCTCTTTCTCTAGCTCTCCTACCCTCCATTATTCAACAGCTTTCAATGTTTCATTATGTCATCTTCATACACAGATGCAGTGTATTTTGATATTATTCACTCTCATTCTCCTTTCCTGTCCTGCCTCCAACCTAGTCCCCTCAAACAGTCGTACTGTTACAAACATATATACATATATATATAATTATATATATAATCATATATGTATTAATGTATACATTTATCTTTTAGGTCTAGCTTCCACATAGGAGATATAGGCGGGAAAACATATGATTCAACATGATGATCTCCAGTCCATCCATTTACCTGCAAATGACATCATTTCATTATTCTTTATGGCTGAATAAAACTCTATTGTATATACACACACACACACATATATATATATACCACATTTTCTTAATCCATTTATCAGTTGTGTATCTGGACTGTTTCCATAACTTGTCTATTGTGAATAGTGCTACAATAAACATGGGTGTAATTTATAAATGGCCCAATGTATTCCTACCCAGCACAACAATAAAGGAAAAAAAAAACAACAAAAAAATCTGGGTGTACAAGTGTCTGTATGGTATCCTGACTACATTCCTTTGGATATATGCCCATGAGTGGTATATTGTATGGTGGTTCCATATTTTAGTTCTTTGAGGAACCTCTATACTTCTTTCCACAGTGGTTGTACTAATTTACATTTCCAACAACAGTGTATAAGGGTTCCTTTTCCCTCACATCCTCGCCAGCATTTGTTGTTTGTGTTCTTGATGATAGCCATTCTGACTGGAGTGAGGTAAAGTATCAGTGTCATTTTGATTTGCATTTCCTTTATGACCAGGGATGTTGAGCATTTTTTTCATGTATTTATTGGTCATTTATACTTCTTTTGAGAATTGTGTGTTCAGTTCATTTGCCCACTATTCATTCACTGGGTTGTTAATTCTTTGGGAGATTAGTTTTTGAGCTACCTTTATGTTCTGGGTATTAATCCCTGTCAGATGTATAGCTGGCAAAGATTTTCTCCCATTCTGTAGTCTATCTCTTCAGTCCAGTGATTTTCCTTTGTTGTGCAGAAGCCTTTTATTTTGATGCCACCATCCCATTTGTCAATTCTTTCTCTTAATTGCCAAGTTATTAGAGTTCCGTTCAGGAAGTTATTGCCTATGTCTGTATGCTCCAGTGTTTTCCCTGTTCTTTCCTGTAGTGGTTCCACAGTTTCAGATCTTACATTAAGGTTTTCGATCCACTTTGAATCGACACTACATTGTACTTCTCTTAAAGTGTCTGTGACTCCTGGTTTTTCTCTCAATGCATAGTGTTGATACAGGTAACATTTAAATGAGTCTTTCTTTGTATATCATTTGTAATTATGTAAAACGTAATGTAAGTCAGAGGGAAACCCGTAGGTAGTATCCCTTTTTAGCCTAAGTGAACTGTGTGTTCTGTGAAACCCTACTGTGTAGGGTTTAATGTAATGTAAGCACTGTCTCTCAAAATAAACAGACTCCTGTTTTGTTATCCTCATAGCAAATTGTGGATAGAGCTACTGTCATACACATCTTATATACAAGGAAATAGAAAACATGATAATATTAATGAAATATGACCAACTCTATTAAGGAATCACTAACTAAGAAAAAAAGAAATACATATTTGAATTAAATCACTGTATAAGAGTACAAAATTTTAACTCAAGTACAGTTATTATTAAGTGTCTTCTTTTATGTTTTTCCGTGGAAGTATATACATACTTTAAAAAAGTCAATTTTTTTCCTCTACAATCCATCTAAAAATGGTTTTCCTTTTGGAGCTTAGAGTAGCCATAAAGTTAGAATTCTGAGAAGATGGTTATACCATAACTTATGTGTGAATGGTAACTGAGTCTTTTGGCTGAGCCTGAGGGCCTTCCAAAGGGTTACAAGTTTGTACCTTTGTTGTAGCTGCCATCATGGTGCAGGGACATTTCGGTGGATGTGAAAGCAGTCATTTCTCTGTTTCGTCCCCATTTCACCTTTGCCTTCCTATTAGTACTCATGAGGAAATTGATGGCTTTTATTTCCAGCCATGGCATTCAATAAGTATGTAAGTTTCATGGAATAAAGATTATAAAAGTTATTTATAATAATCTTGATGCTTAATGCTTTAGAAAATGTGGACATTTCATTTTCAGGAACTTACACAGATGTAGGTGATTTGCATTAGAAAATAAAAGCGATCCTCCTTTTACACTCTGATTTAGTGCTCTCACTTTAATTTTTTTTCTTGCAGAAGGCTCTGGCCTGTCAGATAGTTTATCAAACCAGCCAAATCTCCATGGCCCTTTTCTCGACATGAAATTATGGGAAGTAAAGACAAAGTTACTCATTTTGTATTTGTACTCCACAGAATGACAACCACCATGAAAGCAGTCGTCAGTCCTTGCTTTTGCTTTTGTGTATTTCCTAACAGGTGTCACTTGATTCCAGTCACCATTTTTAGTTAAACCTCTTCCTTTTGTCTTTATTATAGGCTATTTTTATGAAAAGAAAAGAAAGAATGATTCCTGTAAGGTAGACCATTAAGTTTCTGTCTTCTTTCTTTCTCCAGCACCAGGTGCATGTCCTCTGTGAGGCACACAAGATGTCTTTTCTCAGTGTATCACCAGGGATTATTAATCTCTTAAGAGGAGGGAAGGCTGTCTGATGATGATCAAATATTTTTAGCTTGTCTCTGGACTTGTTTATCACTTTAAAATGAAAACAGCATAGTAGTAAGAGTATTCTTCCTTGCCCAGCACCTCACACCTGTAATCCTAGCTACTTAGGCGTCAGGGATCAGGAGGATCACAGTTCGAAGCCAGCCTGGGCAAACACTTTGTGAGACCCTATCTCGAAAAAACCCTTCACAAAAATAGGGCTGGTGGAGAGGCTCAAAATGAAGGCCCTGAGTTCAGCCCCAGTACCACAAAAAAAAAAGGAAGAAAAAAAGAATCTGGAGTATCTTTACACTTGAATAAAATTATTTATTTATAAATCTCTACCTCATAATTTAAATGAAGGGGTTATATTATGACTTTTCCATAATAATGAGGAAAAATTCCTGATAACTATCCACTAGATGTTTTAGTTTTAATAACATAGGGACAGGTAAATCATATCTGTGAACAATACTGAATAAACCCAAGAACGTACATAGCCCTGTTTCTTGTAGGGCTCATAGCCAACCTTTTCTGACCCTCTTAGCAGAATTCTTTTTTTAATGTTCCAAAGCTCTATAATTATGATTAACACATTGCTTAGTGGTTTCATGGTCAAATTAAATTCATTACCTTTTGTTGAAATGAAATTTGTGAGTTTTTTTGATCATGGCATTTTTACTTCATTATTTTTTCCAGAAAGAACTAGAGAAACAGAAGAGAATTAAGAGGAACCAAGAATTGGAAACAGTGGCCAAAGAACATTATAAGATGGTCTTGCTAAGAAATAAAGGTCTGGAGCCTTGGAAGAGATTGAGAATGCAAAGTAAACAAAATATCCAGGTGCACTATCCTGCTATTACCCCCCAAATTAGAAAATGGGCCATTTCAAATAGCACAAATACACAATTAGTCTTTTGAAGAGAGGTGATTTAAAAGCCAGAAAGATAAGTGATTTGAGTATGTATATTTCTTTGTTTTGGATAAGAGTTTAGATTTATTCTTCTAAGAACTTTTGTACTTTAACAGGTTGGAAAAACCTAATTTTTTTTTTATTGTAGACCTCTAAGGTAACATGAATAGAGGATTCTCTGAATTTTAGCAGAGTTTGAGGTTATAAAGTATAGCAGTCAGGTTTCTGCTGGGATGAAGTTATATAACAGACAACCCCAAATATGAATGTCTTACAGCTCAAGTATGTATTTATCACTTAGCATATGTGCAGGCCAGTGGTCGTTTGGGTTCATTCTCCCCTCAAGCCTCATTCTGGTTCCAGCTGCTACTCACAGCATGCCACGTATATCACTTGGCATGAATAAAAGACCAAACAAAATTATGTAAACCCATATGAAACCACTGTCCACTAATATTTCACTGGATAAAGAAAATCAAAGGGTCAAGCTCAAAGTCACTGAGGACGGGAAGGAGGCGCTGTCTACCAAACGCCATTGAAACTTATGACATTTCCCAAACAAATTGAGGCAGCACATAGAACAGGGCATTCAAGAAAGTGGTAAGAAGTTCAAAGTATATGAAATGTTACCTTGCCAGGCTGGGATGTTCCACAGAGCACCCTTGTGATGGTCATTTTGGCCAATAATTATGTTTATAAGGAGATTTGCTTAGACCAATCATATTCACAGTACTGGATCACAAGACAAGTCTTAGGAAAATGTGTCCTTGTCTGAAAAGGACTAAGAGGAGAAGGGTTTCTCCTGTCTCTTGAAAGAATGTAACAGTTACTTTTTAAAAAATCTATAATTCTGAGTTGTGTGTTTATTTTGATAGGATGATACTCAGCCTTTTAAGTTGGTAAGACATTAAATTATTCATCATGTTATTTTTCTATCAATAGTTTTGTGGTGTATTGATAATACCTAAATTTCAGTGCTGGTGACAGTTCATTCTACAAAACTAATTGAAACTATTGGCATTTCCTCAATTAGACAGTGGTTAAGTACATAATAAAGAGAGGTCTGGTATGGAGTTGCTGTCCAAGTCCAAAAGAGCAAAGCAGGAATGTTGCCAGCCACACACTCCAAAATGCCGTAGAACTGAAGCGATGGTGTTGGAAGTTCATTATTCCGTTTCCATAACCAGCCAGTTGCTGTGGTCTTCATGAGTCAGCCTTGAGAACTGCGCCATGGGAATCTAGCCTTTGTACAACGGGGTCTGTAGTCAAAGCTTTTAGGACATAGTCTGTATCGACCTTAAGACTAATCTTCTCTAGTAGCTGCTTAAATGTGGAATATAATAGCTATAGATTCATTTGCCAAGATGGTGTACGTTTCCTTAAATGATTTAAAATTTAAGAAGTAATTTTCTCTTTTCCTTCAAAAAATTATCCAGGTGGCAGAAGAACATCACTCTTTGGCTCTACAGAAGAAAAGCCTGCTGACCTGGTTCCAGTATAGTCAGGAAAGTCTGGTTAGGAAGATGACCCAGGCTGACCAGTTTTATACCCAACTGTTGCTCAGGAGAATCTTCAAGGGCTGGCTACAGGTAAGGCCGCAGTAAGGCGACTGTAAATCCATCTCACTGCTCAATTCTCATAAGAAATTGAAGGAGCTCTGGAATGCCTGAGGACATTACGCCTTTTTTTCCAAGAACAATAAGTAATGAATCTAATTCATAGCTTTGAAATGAATTTGAAAATGTCAGATCGATTTTTATTAGTATGAAATCTTAAGCACATCTCTTCACATAAAGTATATGTGTATAAACTGTAATGTATCATTTTATCTGCTTTTGTTTTTGTACTGGCTTATTAGGGTTTTGTTTTGTTTCATTTTTGTGGTACTGGGGTTTGAACTCAGAGTCTCACCGCTTGCTGGGTAGGTGCTCTACCACTTGAGCCATGCTCCCAGCCCTTTTTACAGTTAGGGTCTTGCACTTTTTGCCTGGTCCTGGACTAGGACAGTGATGCTCCTACCTACCCTTCCTGCATAGCTGGGATCACAGGTGTGTACCACATGCCTTGGCTCACTTCTTATTTTTTTCTCATAGTGCTCAAGTGACTTCAATAGAAACCTCAATTTTATACCTGTTTCTACCCCTCTGGTTCTGTTGTTTTTATAAAACATTACAGGGGATATTATCTTGGCTACCATGTATCCTTTTCTCTTTATGCCTCCAGTATCCGTTGTTCCTTTGTTTTGTATGTTTCTATTTCAATTCTCTCCTTTGTACTGCTTATTTGCTCTCATGGTGTGCTGATATTTGATCATTTTCAGTCCCTTTCTCACTCTCAGTATACAACTGACCTGGAGGAAGAAGTAAGAAAACTTTGTGTACATTTCCTTCAGAAGAAGATTTTTGGAGCCTGGCTTACCATGGTCAGGGAGGCGACGATCAATTCTCAGAGCAAGCATAAGATTGCAGCGGAGCATTGTGACAGGTGAGCTTTTGATCTCTGAGGAAACTCAGACTCACTGACTTCTCAAGTGCTCTGCAATATATTCTGGAACGTATCTGAAAAGATGAAGGAGAGGCTAGGAGAGCAAGGCCTCAGAGACAGGAGGCAGGGTGGTGGGAGTCCCAGCTTACCCATAAACCTCCTGAGACTCCAGGGTTCCCACATATAAAATGAGGAGGTGAGGAGGTGGCCTGCCCTGTCCACCTCACAGAGACTGGCAAGAGGATCAAATATGTGAAACACCCAAACTAATACCTAAGCAAAGTAGTACTGTTTTCTTTGTTAGTCATATAGTTGTTTTTAATTTCTTAACATTTCTTGTGAAATATAACACAAATATAGAAAAGTGCTTAAAACGGCACAAATATAGTTTAAAGAATTTAAGGTAGACACCCGTGTCATCACAACTGAGGTTGTGAAGTAGAACATTGCTCCTTCCCAACAACAAGTCCCCACTGCAGGTAAACTGATCTCCTGACTTGTACCATGAACACTTCCTTGCTTTTGTTTTCACTTTTCCCTCTCAAGCAGGCAGCTTTCAATTCCAGAGCTTAGTTTTGCCTGGTTTTGAGCTTTGCTTATATTTAATCATACTGTATGCCACATTAATATTTAAAATTGTTATATCTTATTTAATCCAGTGTCTTTGGGAAATAAGGATGTTGTATAAAGAAAAGTTTTTTGTTTTCTATCAAACAGGAACATTCTGAATGTCATTATGCATATCCCTTGAGAGTAAACACATAATCTATCCTTTTTTGGTGACTTGGCATCATCCCTTGTGAACGAACCACAGTTAATATGGATGTCTTCAGTGATGTTTCCAGGTTGTGAGATGTGATAGCTATTGTGACATGTACAAGTGTCCTTTCCTTACTACCCTCACATTCAGCTTTCATTTGTGTGTATGTGTGTATGCATCTCTGCTTTTTTTGTGTGTGTGTTTTTTTTTTCCTTTTTCTTTTATTATTCATATGTGCATACAAGGCTTGGTTCATTTCTCCCCCTGCCCCCACCCCCTTCCTTACCACCCTGTCCACCCCCTCCCTCTCCCCCCCCAATACCCAGCAGAAACTATTTTGCCCTTATTTCTAATTTTGTTGTAGAGAGCATCTCTGCTCTTTATATAATAGTTTTCTTATCTTGTTACACTAGGATGCCCGCTACTAGAAAAAAAACTGCTCATCCTTGTTTAATTTGTAGGTAGTAGAAATCGGTGGGCTGCAAACAGATGAGCAAATTGATTTTAATTTTGTCTAAAATAGATATTCAATAAATGAGTGTATTCTCAGGACTTACCTTTGAATTATATGCTGCAGCTTTAAAGGCTAGGACTCAATATACATGTGACCCTGGACAAATAACCTTTTGAGGCTCTCTGTTCCTCTTTTATAAAATGAGGATAACAGCAGAACCTGTTTTTGACTTAAACAATATTGTAAATATTCTTAATCCACAGCTAGCTTAGCCCAGAAGAAGAGTTAATTTGTTTTGAGTTGAGCATCATTGTGACTGCATTTTTATCAAGCATCCTTTTCACTGCCTTTGTTTTCTTTGTTCTCAGCCATTATATACAGGCTGACATTCATTTCAGGACTTCACACAAACCATCTCATCTGATCACAGTGTCACCCAGGGGTGGGGGCAGACGCCATCATTTACACTTTCAGATAAGAAAACAAGTACAGACAAGTAGGTGAATTGCCCAACTTAATAGATAGCACATGGTGGCTCTCTGGACTCCATACCAGGTTTTCTGACTTCAAAACATCCTCTTCTTCTTTTTTAATTAGTGTATATTAATTATAGAAAGGGGTTTCATTTTGATATTTCCAAAGTACTTCAATCATATACTTACTCCCAAATAGTCCCCACTTTGCATTCATGTTATTTATATATATATATATATATATATATATATTTTAGGTCTAGATTGCACAGATGAGAGAGACATGTGATATTTGTCTTTCTTAGTCTGGCTTATATTGCTTAACATGATGGTCTCCAGTTCCATCCATTTTCCTACATACAACATAATTTCATTCTTCATTATGGCTGTATAATACTACCTCATGTATATATACCACATTTTCTTAATCTGTTCATCAGTTGTGAGGGACATAGGCCAATTCCATAGCTTGGCTATTGTGAATAGTGCTGTTATAAATATGGGTGTCCCAATGGGTGTATAATACTCTATTGTATGTTGACTTAAATTCCTTTGGATATATATCCATGAGTGGCATAGCAGGATCATAGAGTAGTTCTCTTTATAGTTTTTTGAGGAGCCTCCATACTGCTTCCAGAGTGGCTGCATTAATTTACATGCCCACCAACAGTGTGTAAGGCTTCCTTCCTCCAACACACACCACATCATCACCAGCATTTGTTATGGTTTCAAAAATATCATCCTCTTGATACATCAGTCTTCCTCCCCATTTTCCTGATTCACCATCATTTGTAAGCTGTAAATATATAGTAAGATAGTGTTCCTTTTCAGGGTCTGAAGTTATGAAATCAGCACAGAAACCCACGTAATTGATAAGAAATGAATTCTCAGCCAATATCTACTTGATATAAAAGCGTCACTGTGACTGTCTCTTCCTGCTCTGCTCTTTGTCCATGTGCTCAAAGCTCACTTCAGCTTCCAGACTTTCACATGCCCTGGTCTCTCTCATCATTCAGTTCTGCTCTAGTGTCCCCTCCTGAAAAGCCGACTTGGGTTGCTGTCCTATTTCTTTCCCCACAGGGGCAGAGACTTTGGTAAGGTAGAATAGTAGGGGCTAAAATGTAGAAGCCAGAAAACTGGAGTGTAACCAGGAGTGGGAGGTAGGGTGGAGGACTGGGAGAAGGGACTTTGGGATGAGTACAGGAAGCTGTAAATGGTAGACTGAATGGATAAAAAATTGTAAGCAATGAAGCAGCCTTTTTTTAAAAGTATTATTTCCACCAATAAAATCAACATTATCCAAAACATCAAACAACCAACAGCTATAAAATTAATGAGGGTTGAGATGCATTTTAGGGCTTAAGAGGCCTGGCTCTGTCTCTCCTTGTGAAAATCAACTTGTGTTTTTGTTTCAACAACGTAACTGTGTTTGTGATTCCTCAGACACACTATGCTACTCTTGCCTCTTTGCCTTTGTTCAAGACATGCCCTCCCTGACTAAAATTCACTTCAGGCATCACTTCTCACCCCCAAATTGGGCAGCCTCCTGTGCTTCCCTCCACCACTCTCCCTGTCCAGTTTAACTGCTTCCTTGGGCAAGAGACTGTGGTTCACCTCCACATCCCTAGTATTCAGATGGAGAGGGTATTAAGAAGCCCTCAAAGACCACACATGCTTCCCTGAGACATAAGAAACACTCAGCTTTCAACAGCACCCCTCCCCAGTAACTATGTTTCCACAACTTGATGTTAAGGTACTTTTATTTATCAACTGAAATCCAGGTTTGTTTTTTGTTGTCGGAAGTGAGGTTACCAGCAGGCTTTTAAAACATGGCTAAAGCACAGGGTCCTCGATGTCTATATCTGTGTCACATTCTGCATGTGATTTTCTAGCATCTTTGCCCAGAGGGTTGCAGCTGCCTGAGTCCTTGTTGGTATTGCTAGTCCTGGCTTGGGCACCATGAGCAGCTTGTGGTCCGACCAACTAAGGAGTATGTCTCATAGTCTGCGTTATCAGCAGTGGGTGCTCTGCTCAGATGTCCCCTCCTCAGAGAGGCTTTCCCTGACCATCTGATCAAAAATGTAAACCACTGCCCTTTCAGACACAGTTTATCCCCTTCCATCACTTAACTTTCTTCATAGCATCACACACTGTCTGGATCCCAGTTGTGATCTCCATACCTTGTACATAATGTTTTATTCACATGAAAATTCTTTTTATAGTTTTTAACATCCTTCCTCTGGAAAGCCTACTTTTCCTTAGTATTGCACTTTTTCTCCTCCTCTCTCTCCTCAAAGGAAGACTCTCAGCATCACATTTCAGACATGGAAGAAGTTCATAAAATTTATGACAGAGGAAAGAGTGAAAGAAGAAAGGCGAGAGCAGCTCCGCAGGAAGGTCGCTGAAATTCTTCCAGACTTCCAGATGTTGGCGCCACTGTGATTGTTAGATGCTCAGCCCAAGTCAGATGAGTCTTTGGTGTGCCTGCACACAAAAACTGCATTGATTAGGAAGGGAATCTTAGTTGGTACAGAATGTGTGTGTGTGTTATCTCCACTCTCCCACATACATACCTGTACCTGGTCTATTTTCTGAGATACTTCTTGGACCAGAGGAATTATTTGGGGAATTTGTACTTCATCCTTTGATTTCTCCTGGCTTGCTAGTCATTCATAGCACCTTATCACAGTGGGATCATCCAAAGGAATAGTCTAGAGTACCACTGTTCAAATGTATCCTATGTATTTTTAGTGTAGTAAACTTCAAAAAGGACAAGTGTTTGCCTGCCCAAGCTTGTGAGGGAAAATGTGATCTTATGGCTTTATGAGTTGCTGGTAAGTGTAACTTTAAATAGAAACAAAACATGGGGGTACTTAAGAAAGGAGGCATGGTGATAAGAGTTCTAGTACCTCAACATCAGTGACAAGCTCCCCACCACACCCATTGCTTTTTGAATCACATTTCAAAAGGTACTCTACACTGCTGCAGCAGAAGGCAACACCTTGATTTCAGGGAAACTAGGGCACCAGAGATGCTGTACCTAATTAAGCATGGAGGAATTTCCAAACACTAGTAATAACTCTATCAAGGGCAGCCCAGTCATTCATTAGAATCTGGTCCTGCTCCCATTTGCAACTTCTAAGTAATCCACTTGATTTGTCCTCTAATCCTCAGACCAGTTTGATCTAGATATTGAGATACTTATTTTAAAATGAGTTCAAAGAATATTTTCATCTTTAAGGTGCTCTCTTCTGTGAATTGTTTAGGAGAATTACCTGCTAGGAAAAGAATTTTTTATTGTAACAAATTCAAATAGTCCATAAATACAGTAAAACAAAAAAGATAGTTATAGGCCTGAGGTAACTATGATTTGGTGTTGGAAGTTTGAATTAGTAAAATAATATTCTGTGGTCCTTCAAGTAAATATGCTTGGTCCTATCTCATGCTTCCTAAGATTTCCAGTTCTACCTGCAAAATGACTTACATTCTTTGTTCATGAAAGATGTGTAAGGGTTCACTACACAAAGCACCCCAAACTGAACAGTGGACTCTTCTACAGTCCACCCCCACCTTTCCCTTTAATTTCATTGTACAGTTATCTAAAACCTCAAGTGTTTTCAAGACTAAGGGCTGTAATCTCATTCCCTTTAAACCACTGTTTATACTAGATTATAGCAATTTACAGAATATTGGCTGATATTCACATTTAAAAACCAGTACTAATTTTAAGCCAACCCTATATATAAGGGTGAATTCCTTAAGTAAACATGTCAGGAGCCTCAATAAATCCCGTAAATTTTAAATTTTCTTTCTTAAACTTTATTTTTGCTTCACCTGATGCATCAGACCAGAAATCGAGTCTTTCACAGTCCATGCTTAGTCAGCCAGGCTTACCTATTTATAGAACCTTCTAAAGCGATATAAGGGGCCAGGTACACTAGTCTACATCTGTGATCCCAGCTACACGGGGAGCAGAGATTGGGAGGATTGCTATTCAAAGCCAGCACAGGGCATAAAGTTATTGAGACTCCCCCCACCTCAACAAATAAGCTGGTGTGGTTCTGCATGCCTGTGGTCCCAGCTATGTGGGAGGCCATACATAGGAGACTCATGGTACAAGGCCAGCCTGGGGAAAAGAATGAGCAGGCCTATCCAAAAAATAACTAAAGCAAAGAAGGGCTGTGGGCATGGCAAGTGGTGGAGCACCTGCCCAGCAAGTGTGAGGCCCTGAACTCACATCCCAGTACTGCAAAAGGAAAAAAAAGTAAAGAAAAATCATCTTGTTGCTGGGCTATTGTGAAGTTATGATTGGAAGTGCCACTAACATAATGCCCAAATAGGGAATATCCTGATCTATAAAACTGGAAAAATATCCATCGGGAAAGTGACAGTTCAGGACTGGGTACAGGTCCACAGGATGTACATCTAAGCAGCAAGGAGGCAGCACACTACCACGCTGGGTTTTAAGCAAAAGACACACCAAGGAACACCATTTTCCTTAAAGAAAGCACTTTATTTTTCATTTAAACAACTTGACCACAGGACATTACTTTACACAAATGGCAGTAATTTGTAAATCTCCATTTAAAAGGCCTTGTGTCTGAGTCTGAGGTGGTAAGAGGATATCAGTACAAGTATAAAACAGTGCAAAATGTTTAGTCCACAGCCTCCAGCTTGGCTTCAGAAATCACCTGTAATGTTGTTGGGCCTATTATGTCAAATATTGAATTTAATATTAAATCAATATTTTTGGGCTCCCTTCAGTCTAACATCAGACCCAAAAACATAATCAAATGAAAAGCCTTCACAACTCAAACCATCAAATCACCTAGACCACAGGATCATGAGTTGAGTCTGCACGCTCTGTAAAATGACATCTTGTCAGTGGCTCCACATGCAGAATTAGAGAATTTTAGTCAATAATTAGAATAGATTAGCTCTGATTTTAAAGCTTTGCCTTTTAAATATGAATTTCTAAAGACAAAAAGTGCCATTGGGAAGACTAGTGTATTAAGTCACAAGACTAACTTGGAAACAGCCACAACCTCTATGAAATCGGTCTCCTTTGCAGTTCAGTCTTTGGCTTGCTGCTGCTGATGCAATGAAATGCTTAGTCCCAGCTGAAATCTGGGTAACGATCCATTAGCAACAGGAGTAAATTTAGCTGATTCTGCAAAAAGTTAGTATTCATCACAGCAAACATCCACAAGAAGACACTGAATTTTATTCAGTATTAAGTTTAGCATGGCTTTCATTCTCCTCTGCATTGCCTTCTGTGTTTAATATACTTGTCAAACTGCTGCTGAGAAAACCAGATTCCGAACAGGAGATTTAAGCAGAAGTCACTTATTGTCCATTGCTTGTTTGAGGAAATTCTCCTTTTCAAAATTCAGGGTACCAAAATATGGCTAAAATGAAGTTAAGTCACATAAACCTACTTAACCCACTTTAAAGAGACCCTAAGTCTCACAAAATACTAACTTTTAAATAGCCTGGTTAAAACTAGATGTATTTTTCCTTCTATTACTTGAGCTTTATAATAAAAAGCTAATGTCTTACCCAAAGGAAGTAAGTCTGTTAAGCAATGATCAGTATTACGTAAAATCTTACTATGTGTTTCTGGCAGTGGAAGATTTTAGTATAGAAAATTTTCTCTTGCTAAAAAGATCAAAAGTACCATGGACTACTGCGCAAAATAAAGTTTTAGCAATCTCTTTTCAGGCAAATAGTACAATGGAAGACACAATCACTTCATTCACCAAAGGAAATACTTGGGAAGCAAAGATTTACATGTGTCTGAGGTGAAACCAGCAGCATGTTGTCCTGAAAACACATTTAAGCCTGCTTTAGCCACGTTACAGTGACCTAACCTACCGAACAGGCATCGTTAATGGCCTCTTCATGTCAGGAGCACCACGTTAAAACCACAGAGACCCTCGCGTATGTCCTAAGAAACATTTCAATATTGAAGGATTTTCTCCTTTCAGCCAATCCTGGTCCTTAATGTTTAAAAATCATTCAAAAGGACCCATTCCTTTTCCCAGGAAAGTATACATGGTGGGAAAATAATGGTAAGTGGAAAGACATAACAGGTTATTAAGCGCCACGTCCAAGTGCTTCTAACAGAGCTGAAGAGTGGGGAGAGAAGGATCTGCTTGTTTAGAATCACATGATGGGAACAGTCCTGTTCCCATGGCCAAGAGACTGGTTTATAAATTTACAGGCAATTCTTCACTGTCTGGGACAACCCATTCACAGAGCCTTTGCCCTCTGGAGAAAACCAAGGCCTGTAACAAAAATCTCTCAAATAGCTCCACATCATAAAAGGCCTGAAAGCCTAGGACTATAAAGCAAGGATGCCCAGCCCTCCACATAGATAACCCCTTGCAGCTCTTTTAGGCAGAAACACTGCAGAAGGCCATTATGACATGGTCAAACCAACAATCCTCCTACAGGTTTGAGCTTCCTGACAAGTTCTCATGGAACTTAAACAACCCCCTAATTCCAGTAAGCAAGGAGTCTCTGTCCAAGTGAGGGAAACTGACCTGACTCATCCAGGTGATCATTAACGGTGAGTTGTTAACAATGAAAGATGGTGATCCTTCCAAATTCTCCCCGATGACTTTGGTCTTTTCTACAACTCATCTTCATCCCATCACATTTGGATTGTTGTGAAAGATTTAGCAATCTACAATTACGACTAATGTTTCTATGAATTTTATTATCTAGTGCTAGACAGTCAGAGTTAGTTATATAGCTGGCATTCAAGAGACATGAAAAACTACCTATTTCTGCCTACATATACTGTCCTTGACATCATTACCATCTCTCTTATCTACAACCGACACAGCAAGAAATGCACTATATCGGAACCAACTTTAATTCCAATGAATATATGACTCTGGGCCAGGGAGAGGCATCGGTGTAGAAACCACAGCATCTGCTAACATCCCTGGCTTGTACTTTGGCTCGTCCAGTGGAATACAGAGGCCTATCACTCATTAAACAATTCATCTCTGGGAGAGCAATGACAAGCCTGAATATGTGGCAGCTGTCTTAAGGACAGCCAGGATTAATGGCAAGAGATGGTGCTAACTGCAGAGGCAGAAATGCAGGAAGTAGAAGTATTTCTTCTCAACGTTTATAAATCTGTTGCTAAAGCAGCATGCACAGAATGATGGAAAAGCTAGCAATATTTTCTCTATATTATGCAATAGGCCAAAGCAAATTTAAGAACTTTGGGATTCTTAAATTCTTACATCTTTGGAATTGCAGGACAGTACATAAAACCAAACACTTCAAGAGGGTATTTTTCCTCCATCTGAATCTCCCTCTCTTAGTTCTATGGCAGAATGATCCATTCTATAGAAATACTAATCTTTCATCATTTTCAGTCTTGACATGATTAAAGAAGCAATGTGTTATTGGGGAAAAGCAAAGGAAGACCATTAACCCATTAATTACTGGAAACCACATATACCCTGTTTTTTTGTTTTTTTTTCTCTCCTGGTGAGATAGTTTTGAGTGGGGAAGGGTGAATGGGAAGCAATGGGCAAGTCAAGTAGACAGG